CAGCATCTGCAGTTCCTACTATCTCTGATTCCATTAGGATTCATGATCTGTTTCTCTCTTTCCGTTGATTATGCCAAACCTGCTGATTATTTTCAGCATTTTTTGTTTCTCTCTCAGACGCCTATCACCTGCAGCTTTTTGTTTCTGCACACCATTTAAGGATATGTTTTTCATTACCCAGTTATTTAGCTGTTTATGTTACTATTGCTGTATTCACCAGAGTAATTTAGAAAAAGACATTTAATTATGCAGAAATGATCAGCTATTACACCTCGCCTTTGCAATTTTTAAACAAAAGATTTACATGTAAAATATTGATATTGTTTTCTTGCTCTTCAGATATCAAAAACAAAATGAGCTACCCAATAGACAGAACTATAGGGCTTTCCCCTCTCCTCACCCCCAAGCTGGAGGAATTTTCAGATTTTCTGTTTGGGCTGTAATCTGATAAAAAGTCCTTTTAGAATCAAAAGGGTGAGATCTGGGCAGGTTCCACAGTGGTCAGGCAAATTCCTCCACTAGATTATCAACCCAGCATTGATGGTGGAATTACCATGCATCCTCAAGAGAGACAAAGATAAAACATGCTTCATTGTTACTCAAAGATTACAACATACAAAAGTAGATTAAATTGATATTTTGAAAGGAAGCAAATAAAAAAAGTGAGGCAAGGAAGAAATAGAAAAATGGGATTATGCTAAACCAGCTGGCAGTTAAAGAGCTGGTACAGGAGTTAATGGTTAAACAACCTCCTTCAATTCAATCTTTTCTGTTCAATGCAATGCTGGGGGTGCAACTTGGAACTTGTAAAACTTGTTTTCTAATATATTTTAGACAATGCAAGGTGTCGGGTTTAAACCCAACCCACAATAGTCCACAAAAGGCTTTCTTTTTCTATTTAAATTAAAGTGAGACAAAACATTAGAGCTGGTTCAAGTCATAATTTTCTGGCTCAGATTGGTATTGTATGGCACTTATAGATGCGATTCCTTACCTCTTCAAGTGGAGGCTTGGCATCTGTCTCATTATTCCCAGACTATTCTTATTCATTCATTAGCTAGCTATTGGATCAATAAAGGGCGGTGACTAAGTAATGCAACATGAAAAGGACATTATTCTGTTACCTCTGGGGTTTGGGACATATTCTGTCCACATAATAGGGAATAGCTGAAGACAATCTACTGGAATGGCTGGACTGAGAGATGGATGTGTCAGACATATGAAGCAAAGATGAGCAGAGTTGCAGATTAATTTGCATCTGACTGTGCTGCACCTCATTTCATATTGTTGAATAGGGAGAGTGAACACAAAAAGACAAAGTGAACTATGTCCTCCCCATTATAGCCCGGGAACAGCATAAGATGTCATCAAAACTTTAAGGAAAATGATAACAGGGTCAGAAACAAAATCCAAGCACAAGTAATAGCAAGTTCCAATAGAAACGTAAAAGTAAATATCATATTTAAGACACAAGTTAAACCTACCTTGTCAAAAGCAGGATAGAAAATTGCTACTTTGCTATATTCATGAAACTGAATATGTAACTCAGCAGCATTCTCAGTATAAGGATTTGCCTGTGTTGTGCCCATGGGATTCAACATTTCTTCCAATTCATCTGGAATCAAAGGATAACTTACTTGTGAATTACTCATAT